CCCCAAAACCCCAAAACCCCAAGAATTACAAATTGCAAAGTATGAGGGCAACGGATAAATTTATAGAATTAGAATAAATTATATTATTTAAATATTATTGATATATTAGAAGCAATGATTAAGTTTAATTGCTAAAGCCTGAGTGGAGGTTTATAGAAACCAACAATGATAAAACTATGCATTCTAATTATGGCATTGCAGATTAAAGATATTTAAATGTATAAAATAGTTAATATACTGCAGTAAATACTAGCATCCTAAAACGTCCTATATGATCCAGGCATATTACCACTTCCGATTAATCAAAAGTATTTAGGTAAGTAAACCCCTAAAATATTAAAGTAGCAGTAAGTTCTAACATTTTATAGAAATTAATTCTTAAGTGAGAATAGTATAGATCAACGAACTTAACATATACAGTTAAACTCTTGATCTAAGTATAGAGTAAACCTATTCTTGGACAGATAGGTTTCTAAATTTTGAAAAGAACCAATCATTGATGTCTATATTGAATGGATAATAGGAGATTTCATATAAAAATGATGTTGAAACTTAGATTTGGACTCTAAATACCAATTTTCTGGATTAAGTCTAAAAGGAAACAATTTTGTTTGCTAACTGCAAGATAAGACCAAATGGACTGTATTTATATTATACTTTAAAAGATTATATAGAGTAACTACAAGGAAAACATCACAAATAAAGTTGAGGTGTCCATTGAGCGAGAATATCATCACGAAAAATGTTTAAACTTGCACTATCAAAATGGTAGAGGACACAAATTCTATCAATACTTTGAAATTTGTAATGTAAGTGGGATAAATTATTTTTAAATCTTTTTATAGAAACTAAACCACGAAGAATAATTCAGATGGCATTAAATTACAGAATGGATTCTAATTATAGTCAGTTTAATAACAGACTTCAATAATTGAAATAGAATAGGTCTAGTATAGCGCAATAATGATAGAGATTTAAATAAAAGCCTTATCTTAATATGGCTTCATTCAATATATTGCTCCAAGCATATTAATATCTGTGATTCAATATTTGTCTCTATCATTTGGCTTACATTCCTAAAAGAGATTGATTTCTATTTATGGATTGCTACTAGCATAGATTATATTATTCTTCAGCTTTAATTACTTAGTGGATTAGTAAACTGAATTCAAATATGCTTTTATTCAATAATTCAACTATGCCACCATCATCTTTAGTTTGTACTTTTGCATTCAGCTAGCTGTGTTGATTAATGGATCTCAAATATACATGAAGTAAAGGTATCAAGTATAGTAATCAGTTGATTATATCTTTAACGAAATGGATAAACTATAAATAGAAGAAAAAGAATTAGAAAATCTTCGTGAGAATGTGTAACTGTAAAGATAGATGGAATTATCTAGGAATGCTAACATACAGCCAGGAGGTTAACTTAGAGCTCCTTTTAATTCAGATTTGAGACTAAGCTCCCAATAGACAAATTTTATATCAAATTAGTCAAAATAGGTATCAGGCACATCATTGCAGGTAAAAGCTACTCATTCAAAGACACTTTAAGTTGATTAGGATTAGTCAAAATTAATCAATCAATTAATAATGGAGTCCGGACTTTCTCTAAATCTCTTAGCAAGTGCTTAACTTGAAACCATTGACGAGGGTAAATAGCATGATGAGGATGAGCAAAATGATAGAGATATTGTTTAATCAGAGTTGAATAGAATGGACAATCTAATGCCTCAGAAAAGTAAATTCTAAGAAAGAGATGATGTAGCTAGCTCAGTTACCAGTATACCCTCTTACAGACTATAGGAAGACTAGAAGACTGTCATTATTAGATAAGATCTAAACTAAACGGAGGATGAAGATCATAATTTTGAATCATTGGTAGGAAGCGATCGTAGAAAAGTTTAAAATAATTCCTCGCTTGAGGAGTAAAAGTATCATATAGACTAGATCAAAAGTAGTAGTAGTCCAAAGAGAGTGTAGAGAAATTTAAAATTTATAGAGGAATTAAAGCATCAAGACTTGAATCTAGATTTTCTGTCTAGCTCATCTATTTATTCTCTTAATGGTCCTCTGAATCTTAAAGCTAATAAGTCAGCATCTCCCTAGCAATAAGTTTTAGTAGAGCCTCTATAAAAATAGACAGAGCATTATAAATAGGGCCTAAGAAATGCAAACTCTTAAAAAAGCCTATCTTCTAGAATCAGTAAGAGCAATAAGTTGATGCCATATATGTAGTATTTGGCGAATGACAACTCAATGAATAATGATGACCTTGAAAACTCTCAGCAAATTATGCTGAACAATATGTCCAGGAATCATCATGAAACTATTGAAACTGAGTAGCCAATGATCAGACATGATGATTATAGAATGACATAAACAAGAAATCGATATGAAACATTTATTTCTCATAATATTGATGATGACTAACCGAATATACAGTTTACTTTTAATTCTAGAGGCAACACTCGCCATTTTGCTGATGATACTATCGGAGACTACTACCTAGAGAGATAGAAAACTAACTTTACTTAGAAATCAACCTTTAATTATCAAAAATCTAAAAGTGTTGTTAGAGAAGCTATTAAAAATCTAAAGGAAATTGAGATTAGCTATGAATAAATGGGTATTGTAGGAATTCCTCGTATATATCAGACTAATAATGGAAAATGCTTTATTAGAAATATGAATGTGCTAATTTCGAATTACAGGTAAATCGAGGATTAGACTGATGTGCAGATAAATAGGAGATTAGAGGAAATAAGGCAGATAGTTCAGTCTAGGAAGTTCAAATACTGCCAGATGATTTATGATTACTTTGATTTTTGGAATAAGTACATGATACTTGCGATATATCTTATTTTTCTAGGATTTATGATAATTAAACTATAGGATGGTTTAATACCAGGAGTTGTGTTATTAGGCATTGGAATATTTATTAGTGTACTATTTATTGGAGTGTAGATATTTTTTTTCTCTAGAGGAGAGAAATCAATTCGGCTTAAGAACTGACACGGCTATATATGAAAGAAATATAGACTTTGAAAATATTATTTTATAATTTTACTCAATTATTTATAAGTTGAAATTTGCTTCATGGGGTTTTGGGGTTTTGGGG